ATTCAAACGGTATAGCCGGGCGGCTATACTTTCGAATATATTGAAACGGTATAGCCGTTCGGCTATACTATTTAAATATTTGAATATATTTAAACAGCATGGCCGGTGGGCTATACTATCGCGGCTATACTTATTAAATTTTAAAATGTATAGCCGATCGGCTATACTATTTAAATATTAGATTTAAACAGTCAAGCCGTGCGGCTATCATATTTAAATATTCGAATATAGTCTAGCCGAATGGCTATACTATTTTAATATTCGAATATATTTAAACCGTATAGCCGGACGGCTATACTGTAAAATATTCGAATATATTGAAACGGTATAGCCGTTCGGCTATACTATTTAAATATTTAAATACGTTCAAACAGCATGGCCGGTGGGCTATACTATCGCGGCTATACTTATTACATTTTAAATTGTATACCCGATCGGCTATACTATTTAAATATTGGATTTAAAACGTCAAGCCGGGCGGCTATACTATTTAGATATTAGAATATATTTAACCGGTACAGCCACACGGCTCTACTTCTTAAATATTCGAATACAGTCTAGCCGAATGGCTATACTATTTTAATATTCGAATATATTCAAACGGTATAGCCGGGCGGCTATACTTTCGAATATATTGAAATGGTATAGCCGTTCGGATATACTATTTAAATATTTGAATATATTTAAACAGCGTGGCCGGTGGGCTATACTATCGCGGCTATACTTATTAAATTTTAAAATGTATAGCCGTTCGGCTATACTATTTAAATATTAGATTCAAACCGTCAAGCCGTCCGGCTATACTATTTAAATATTAGAATATATTTAAACCGTATAGCCGTGCGACTACACTATTTAAATATTCAAATATATCAAAAAGATATATCCACGCGGCTATACGTGTTAAATAAATATATTTAAAAGGTATAGCGCCCGGCTTTACTATTTAAATCTTCGAATATATTTGAACGGTATAACCGCTCGGCTATACTTGTTAGATAATAAAATACATTTAAACTGTATAGCCGCGCGGCTAAACCATTTAAATATTCGCATATAAGCGCCCAGCTATACTGTTTAAATATTAGAATATATTTAAAATGTATAGCCGGTCGGCTATACGCTTTAAATACACCCAGAGAATTTTGTGCCCGCAGCAGTCTTGTATGGCCACCACCGACGACAAAAATCTGACACAAGGCCTCCAAGGGCAGCTTCTATGGGGTTTGTGACAAGACAAGGGCACGTAGAAAAGTGAGGCAAGGATTTCTCAAGAACAAGACAAGGAATGACTGATTTCAAGTCCTCTCCCCTCCCCAACTTGCCTGCAGTTTGATCAACTATGTATAGCATAATTAAGCATAGTATTCTATTCTAGTCTGCCATCAAAACCTAGCGGAGCATGTAATTTCATACCCAACTGCAACTGCAGCCTTGTAAAGCCCAACCTGTCCAAAACAGAACAGCAGTTGAAATTACCAACCTGTCCTATAGTAATCACTGATGAGACTTGAAGCACTTGTAGAAGGATCGGAATAAATGTTTACTGTTTTGTTCCTGATCTGAAACCAAATTGTTTTCTGGTGCCTTTAGTTCAAAGAAGTTTTGCAGCGGGAACTGGATGCTGTTGAGAGGGACAAGGATGAATTCATCCAGGATTTTGTCTTTCAACTTTTGCCCATTTTTAATGGAATTGGAGTGTTTGTATTTGTTTAATGGTTGTGATAAGCGTCTCTCTTCTTTAAAACTCCAATGTGGTATACAAAACTTCCCTACATTGGTCTCATGTGTTATCCTTTTCTTCCTTCTTCTTCTTTTGATCACGGGAAGTCTCAAACCCTTTTGAAGAGAAAATATAATTATTGGTTCATGGAGATGGTAATCAAGATGTAAAATCATTGATAATTTTTCTCTATACATTATTTGTTGGCTAATTTCAAGCTTGTAGGTATATATATGAAGTTGAAACAAAAGAGGAGGGATCATTTAAAAAAATCTGAAACATCCTTTTTGGATCTGACAACAATCGGGGAAGTAGAGAGACCATTTTGTAATTTATGCTCAGTGGGAAGTCGTCGGAGATCGCCTTTCTCATTACCATCTTCAGCCACTGTAAATTCTTGGGGAGGTGAGGACCCAAATATCTGCACCACTAAGCTTCCACCTATAATCATAAAATAAATAGTGGTCAAATGATACCACCAATTCCAGAGACCAATTTGACTTGAGATATAAGAAACAAGAGATCACAACAGCAAGAAGGAGAAATTAGTTACCAAGCACAAGAGCAGCCCCTATCCATCCAAGTGTACCCCACCTTTCACCAAGTAGAAACCATGCAAAACCAGCACCCCACACGGGCTCCATCCCGTAAATTATGGCTGTTTCTGTCGCTGAAACATCACGCATAGCTGCAATCTGCAGCGATGAACAAATTTTTTCAATTTTGAACATGCCCTAATAAGTTCTGAATACTTGATGATTTATAAGGCACATATATTGTGGGATGAACTAATCAGCAGGACAAGGCATGCAAATCAGTGAGCAGTGGATATTAGAAGTATCCAAATAGTGCTTAAATTGAGTGTGACCTGAGGAACTATACCTCAATCCATAAGCATAACCCAGTTGAAAATGCACCAGTATAAAGTGCAGGTATCCATGGAAATGCAACAATCCAGTCCCATAACTCTGTCCATGTCCATATCCATGATGATTGGTTGGAATAGCAGGCACCATCTAACCACCCTCCAATGAAAACCCAGATTGTGGATAAGAGAGCAACAACACAAACCTGAATAAACCACGGAATTGTTCAAGTGCAAAACTTAGAAAGCTATGTGAAGAAGAAAATGAGGCAGGCATGATGACCTGCATACCTCATATCCAAGAATTGCTAAGAAGTTTTCTTTCTTTGTGCTTCTTGAAATATGCTCTGTCCGAAGCATGTGAATACCAAAAAATAATGCACTCAAGAAGTTCAAAAGATCACCAACCTGAAAAGGAAAGTAGAATTATGATTAGTTGCCAAAGAGCTATCGTCATATATGTTGTCCCATTTTTCACCACATGAAATCAGCTTTTTCTACAACATTCAACGCGAATGCATCAAGAACGTTCTTACGTTTGGAGGTGATCCACTGCATTCCAGCATAGAAACCCCAACAGCAGACATGAGAACTCCAAACGAAGTACGAGTGGGTATGATTGCTCCCAGCATGCCATCAAGCAAAGGTACCACAATAACCTGTTCAAGTTAACATGAATTTATTGATCTAACAAAATTTTCACATTTTTTTTTCCATGCAGCATTCAAAGAGAATCATGAAAGTTATTGAGTAAAATCATATGAGATTTGTATATATGTATTGAAGAAAGAAGAATACTTGTTACCCAAAAAAACAGAAAGAAGAGTACTTGTGGTCTACAAAGTCTGAGCTTACGGTAAACAGAGAAATAAACGATGCACGACCGGCATCAGATGTAAGCAATCCAAGTGCCTCAAGAAGGTACCCTAGACTGATCCAGAACCCCAACTCCATCCCTGCATTGCGGGTCTGGACATCATCTCGTGATTGGAACACAAATGGCAGAAATGGGATGGCTGACATGACAAATCGCACTGCTGAAAAGGCCGCCGGGTCCATAATAGCTTCAACTTCTTTGATAACTGGAATGTCACTTGCTGCAGTTTGAATCAGCACATACCTCAGAAATTTGTGGCTTTAGAATTTCAACATGTTAAATTACAACAACATTTGACAACGTTATCAAACAGGCATTTGATAGATTCCTGTTACATGATATCACTAAGTTGTACTGCATTTGTTGAATCAAACCAATTAGCTACATTAAAAAGAACCCATTACTATATAATGCTTTTGGCAGGTGAAGTTGCTTTTCATATCTTGGAAGTTTGTAACAAGACAAATTGCTCATGGAAAAGATACATACCATAGACAATTGTGATGAAATTGAGCAAGATAATACTCCTCATCTTCTTGGATGCAAAGAAAACCTTTTGCCACAAAGGTCGTTGCTTTCTTGGACCGGATTTCTTAGTCTCGTCCTTGTTGCTTTTCTTGATCTTCTTTTGATCAGATGGTTTGCGATCATCACTATGTATAACTGAGAATGTCCCATCCTTGGTTCTTTGTATTTCAAGAGATTTTTTGTTTGTTATGTCACCTTTCTGAGATGTTGAAGACCAAGAACAGCCAGAAGAAGAAGAAGATGTTGTTGATGAAGTTGAGATGGGGTCTAATGAACAAGTGATGAAACGCTGGCGTTTGCTGGAAATGGTGGAGGAGAAGAGGAGCATGGAGGTGTTGCTATAGCAGCTTGAAATTTTGGAAGCAGAGTCAGTTGTTGTCCTGCATATTGTTGATGATGGGCAGGCCATGTATGAGCTAAAGGACTCAAATAAATCTCTTAAATTCAAGCAATGGAAATGGAAGAGGGGAAGGAGCAAGATCTCCCTCTGTTTTCGTAGATTGAATTAAGGCCATGGAAGCAGAAAATGGCATTTCAAACGAGTGGAGGTTCAGAGTGGAAAGTTGGATCCGGACAAAGAACGATATTTCTATCCAGGAGAGAATTCCAAACGTGTGGCACGTGGGATTTTGATTTGTGGTGGACGGTGGTCCAAAGTCTTCACTTCATAGATCATGTGAAACTGTAGACAGAAAAACCTCTCAACTTTCAAATAAAAGACATGCAAATGTAAAGGATTTCTTAGGAAATCCAAAAATAAATAAGGGCAATTTTGTCCATTTTGGCTTCTTTTACAAATTTTCTCTCTCCTTTGTGTTTTTCTAAAGTATTTCTATCCATTATTATTGTTGTTTTGCTATAATTCTGCGTGTCTCTGAACATTTCCAATTGCAGATGTTTCTCAAGAATACAACCTTTTTTTCTTTAGTTGACCCTCAAGTCAAGAAGAGAAGAAATAACAAAGTTACAGTTTGCAAATCCAGAGAAACTCAAGCAAAGAGTCAAAATAAAAAAGCAGTTAACTTTTATTATAAGCAAGCAGGGCTTCGTATATATATAAGGGAAAATCAACTTCACCAGAGTCGCAGTGCATTGCACACTTAAACCAACTATTGCACTCATAGATAATAATAGTACGCAAAATGAACACCTTTATCACCTAATTATTGCTTGTATCATACGAAACGGCAAATTAGTCCAACACCTTCAGTTTTCAGGAGCAGTCCCAATCGCTTCGTCGTCTTCATATTCGACATCTTCTTCAACCGTGGCATCTTGGTATTGTTGGTATTCTGCAACAAGATCATTCATGTTACTCTCCGCCTCCGTAAACTCCATCTCATCCATTCCTTCTCCAGTATACCAGTGCAAGAAGGCCTTCCTCCTGAACATAGCCGTGAACTGTTCACTTACTCTCCTGAACATCTCTTGTATGGAAGTGGAATTCCCAATGAAAGTCGATGACATGATAAGACCTTTTGGTGGGATGTCACAAACACTGGACTTGACATTATTCGGAATCCACTCAACAAAGTAGGAGGAGTTCTTGTTCTGCACATTCATCATCTGTTCATCGACTTCTTTGGTGCTCATTTTACCTCTGAACATGGCGGATGCTGTAAGGTAACGGCCATGGCGTGGATCAGCAGCACACATCATGTTCTTGGCATCCCACATTTGTTGTGTCAGTTCAGGGACGCTTAGAGCAGAGTACTGCTGTGATCCTCGAGATGTCAGAGGTGCAAATCCCACCATGAAGAAGTGTAGTCGAGGGAATGGGATTAAGTTCACCGCTAGCTTTCGGAGGTCTGAGTTCAGCTGACCAGGGAATCGCAGACAGCAAGTGACACCGCTCATAGTTCCCGAAATCAGATGATTCAAATCCCCAACTGGAACACACAACAAGAAATACATTCAAGTATTTAGGAACTAGCAACCCCAAATTAGGCCATTTCTCTTTCAATTTCATAAGAAAACATTCGATCAAACTTGGCCGCAATCTTTATAATATAAAAAAAGAAAGAAAGAAAACATTAGAATGATGGTAATTAGGATGCAATTACTTCAAAAGCAATACATTGCAGAATTTGAAATGTGAAAGGTGCAATCAACTTACAGCTTGGGGTGGTGAGCTTGAGTGTCCTGAAGCAGATATCATAGAGAGCTTCATTGTCAAGGACCATACACTCATCCGCATTCTCAACCAGTTGGTGAACAGAAAGGGTGGCATTATAAGGCTCCACAACAGTGTCTGAAACCTTTGGAGATGGAAACACAGAGAAGGTGAGCATCATTCTGTCCGGGAATTCTTCTCTGATCTTTGATATGAGCAGAGTTCCCATTCCAGACCCAGTTCCACCTCCCAGTGAGTGACATACTTGAAATCCTGCATCAACAAGTTTAAAAGGCCAAAATCTCACTCACATCTCAGTGACTTAATTGAAACACTACAATGAGTTTAGCATATCCAATCTAGCTATAATGCTATTTCTATTTCTTCCCTGAAAAAGCAAGATTGTCTTTGAATTTGTACTGTGTCATGCCTGGACAAAAATTTAAAATCCATCCTTGAAAAATGAGATGTTTCTCTTTCATCTGAATAAGAAAATTAAATAGAGAGTCCTTTTGACCATAACTGGTTTATGGTCAATCTTAACAATGCCACCTAGCTTGTCAAGTTGCTGAGGAAGATTACATAAATCTTATTGGTGATGTGAAGCACTATTCTTATTACCATACAATTAATCAGAAACCAAACTGGTTTCATTTACAGAAACTTCCCTGTTATGAAAGTATGTGAAGCATGAAAATAAATCAGAAACCAAACTGGTTTCATTTCATATAAAATGTAGGAATCAAATTCATTCCTTTCCCCCACTGGAATTCTGACCAAGTAAATAAATCAGATTAAATCATACAATTTTAAACATTTGAAATAATTTTTAATTCAAACTATACCTTGCAAGCAGTCACAGTTCTCAGCTTCTTTCCTAACAACATCGAGCACCGAATCAATGAGCTCAGCGCCTTCGGTGTAATGGCCTTTGGCCCAATTGTTGCCGGCCCCCGACTGCCCGAAGACAAAGTTATCGGGCCGGAAAATCTGGCCATAGGGTCCGGCCCGGATGCTGTCCATGGTGCCCGGCTCAAGGTCCATGAGCACCGCCCGGGGCACGTAACGGCCGCCGCTGGCTTCGTTGTAATAAACATTGACCCTCTCTAACTGAATATCGGTGTTCCCGGTGTACTGGCCGGTGGGGTCTATGCCGTGCTCGTCGCACACAACCTCCCAGAACTTGGATCCTATTTGGTTCCCACATTGCCCTCCCTGGATGTGCAGAATCTCTCTCATTTTGGCTAATGGAACAGGGGCAAAATGGGGAAGATGGGGGTTTATAATATAACTACCTGCGACTCTTTCAAAGGAAAGGGAAACGTTATTTTTGGAGGGAAGGGGTAGTGGTAGTTATTTATACCGAGGGAAGGGGGATGATCCAACGGTTGTGATTGGGTAGGTGATGGAGAGTGGAGGGTTGGTTTGTTAACTTTGGAACGTGAATGGTTGCCATTTGGGGTTGTTTCATTCAGTATCGCCGGCTTAACAGGGCCATGATCATTTTTAATGTCATTTTCTTAATTTCACAAGGCAAATATATTTTATCTTACAAATAAGATATGCTTTTCGCTCATTACCCCCATCACATCATCCCCACTAGGCTCAACCCAAAATGGCGTTTCCTCTGTTCTTTTCATTTTCATATGTTTGACTCTAAAGTTATGAGTTCTGTAATGGGCTTCATTTGTTGGTAGCCGAATTGGTCTTCCTACTACCTATTGGGCCAAGAATTCTATAACGAGGGCTTTACAAAATTAGTTAGCCACTGAATCAAACTGATCTAACAGTTAAGAGATAAAACCTCACTTAAAGGTTATTTATATATAAAGCTCTCACTATAGAATGACTTCTTATTGGGCCATCTTTGCAAGAAAAGTCCATTAAACCAGTTGTTGGGCTTCCCTTCATCTCTTTTTTCTCGAGAATAGCTTGACAATGACAATTCTATCATTGTTGGTCTTATTCATCGTTCCTTGATTAGTGTGGAACATATATAAAGCATTATTATTGTTTTTTACTGTAAGCGATAGTCTAAATTACAAGATATGAGATTTCTAACACACACGCACACAACGAAGATGTAATGAGGGCTCAAACTTAAGCTTTCTTATCTACAAGTGAATGTCTTGTTTTATTGGACTAGACTTGTCGGCGTATAAAAGAATTATTATGAAAGGCTAGTTTAATTATTAATCCTGATCCTGACTGGGCTGAGAAGTGCGATCAATAAAGGCCACATATGTAAAGCCTATTTAGAGAGGGATACCTAACCAGGCTCTAGCTTAAGAATTTGAGCTCGTAAAAGCAATTAATTAAAGCCTTGGAGGCCCAGAACCTGGCTTTCTGTAACACTAATTATATTATATTTGCCCTACCAAAATGTCAACACGTTCGACAAGAATACTTATTAAACATTCGTAGCTGCTGCTGCTGCTGCTGCTGCTGGGCGATTTACACACTGTTAACCGGTTAATAGTGCAAACTAAACTAACAGCAGATGCCTTGACCAATCATTCGTTTTTATGTTTATTTTCTAGTGTGAAGGGGGCAAAACCCCCAACGGAGACTTTCTTTTTTCTCTTTTCCTGTGAGTAGAGATGACAACACATTCTTTAGACCCTTTACAGTTATTGGAGTTATCTTCCTAAATCCTAGACCAGCATCGTATTGTTGAATTTCAGAAAGAAAGAAAAAAAAAAGAGAGTGAGAGGGGTTTGATTTGACTCGCGTCGTCCTATATATTTACATTTTGATATAAAATACTGGTATTTTGCATGTGAATGCATACATTTCATTTTCATTCAGTGTGTTTTTATATGTGTGTGTGTATATATATATATATATATATATATATCTCCATATGCATACGGTACATATAGTAGCTAGAGATTGCAGAGAAGTAGGGCCTGTAACCAACAAAAAGATAAAAATGAATAATGAAACAATTATATGAATATGATATATGGGTTTGAAATCCGAGAGAAAGAGAGAGACAGATTGAGAGAGAGAGGGTGCAGTGCAGTAGTAAGTGCACTCGAGAATTGAGTCATTCCATCATAATGAGAGAGGAAGGGCTTATGTGTATGTATATATCTTGAAGATAAATATATATAGAGCAACTGGGGTGAAACTCAAAGCTGCGTATTTCCTTTTTCCCCCAACAGCAGCAGCAGCAGCAACTTAATTGCCCGGCATGCAGGACATGGACTCAGATATGGACCCGGAAAATATTCAATTCAATTGAATTCATTAATAAATAGTAGGTGGCAGGAGGCAGGAAGAAGGAAGGAAGATTCCAAATAAGTTAGCTTAGCTCTATACACAGTAAATTTGGCAGCACGTAAAGTATAGGTATCGGTGCATTCTCATTTTAACATATACATATCCGACACCCCAAAAGGACAAATCACATGCACATAGAATTGACATGTGTACGCAGGAGCATCACATATAGAACAAAATAAATTTTATATATAGAATATGATTGGACAGTGGAGAGTATAATGGGATTGGATATCAAATCTGTTGTGCAAGTGAAAGCTAGCTAGCTATCTAGGTTAAAAAAAGAAAGGGGAATGCCATGCAAGATAAAGGAGGATCCGTACCTAGCTACATTATTAAATCTGGCAGCTGAGACAGATATAAGCGCAAGCAATATGTTTATTGTCTTTGTGGTAACTTGTAAGCGATAAGTAAATAGGCTCGTTTGGTATATAGTATTGGATTGGATATAATAAATTCTTATAATTAAAGCATATTTAAAGAAGAAATTAAAACAATTTGACCAAGTTGAAGGTACGGATTACTCGTGAAGTAGGTTACTAATTAACACCTTATAACTTATTCCTCATAATCATCCAAAATGGAAAATTATTCACTTATACCGTCATTTTCTTCTTTAACGTGCCCTTAGATTTAAATTTGTAACTTATCCAATACAATCTTAGACACCAAATGACCTTACGTGTTTAAGTCTGTGTGTGTGGAAATGTAGCAATGTGGGAAGGGAAGCATAGATGGATGGAGCTTGAGCTTATAGTATAGTAGTATATATGTCGACAAGAAAAAAGGGTGAGATTAATTAAGGAGGGGAGCAGGGCAGAGCAGAGAGGGAGAGGGAGGGAGGCAGGCAGGCAGTTCGGATTGAGAATAAGTGTGAAAGGCACGAGACGTGAAGAGAACAATAAATGAGCAAGAGAGAGAGAGAGAGAGAGAGAGAGACAGGGGAAAAGGGTGGAAAGGGAAAAGAGGAAGGTGATGAGGCTTATGATAACCCTCATGATCGTCACGTCGTTTTTCATTTGCTTCTCCCGATGTCCTCCCAGAATTCCACGCTTCCTCTCTCTCTCATCTTTCTTTCCTTCCACACAGCTCTGCCCTCTCTCTCTCTCTCTCTCTCTCTCTCTGCTTTTCTTTTCTTTTTTCCTTTGTCCGTTCCTTCTCTCTCTCACACAGTTTTTCTTTCTAAATTAAATAACATATTGTATAGGGCGCCTAGTCAACCTCATGTCTTGGCTCACTTTGTTGTTCCGTATTAAACCAACACTATAATTTCAGACCAGAAAAAAACACACACAACACACTATTCTCTCTCTCTCTCTCTCTCTCTCTCTCTCTCTTTGAATTCCATATAGTAAATGTGATAGCTAGCTAGTGATCAATCCCCATCTCTGAATGTCTGAAACTCAAATATTACATCACTGATTCAGCTCAACTAACCCATTTTCAACAATACCTTCTCTCTTTCTCTCTCCCTTTCTCTTTAATCGCATCAATATATGCCAAATATAAACAATGCCTACAATGCCTATATGAGGCAGCTATGCAACACCCTATTTTAAATCCCCATCATCCATCCATCTCCCAATTCTCCATCACTTCCAACAGCAACAGTTGAAGTAGTAGTACACCCGCTCCAATTCCCACAATACCTAGCTGCATGCTAGTTTTCCCATTTTTGTAACTCCACCACCATTCTTCATACCACATCACACCATTACCTCAAATGGGAAGCGATTTCAAACTACCTAGGCTACCATCCCTTTTTTATAATTAGTTACTACCACCTCCCCTTGTTCTTGTTATCTTGTTATCTTGTTCTTGTTCCCTTAACATATACACTTACTTATATGTATATATTTACCTTTTAAGGCCATTATATACCTTGGGATTCTGAGAGAGGTGGGTGACACAGAAAGAGAGAAGTAAGTAGAGCCTAGCTCTTGGCTACTTGTTTATATTTTCACTGTGTTCAACAATCAAAATGTGGATGATGGGTTATAACGAGAGTGGGCATGCTGATTTCAACATGCCTGATTCTTTCAACGGTCGGAAGCTTCGGCCTCTCATTCCACGGCCACTCGTGCCATCTGCTAACAACGCCACTTCTTCAGTCACTGCTGCAACTCCTCCTTGTTTAAACCGGATTCATGGCGTCTCTCATGATTTCTTCACTCAGTATCACCATCTCGCCGGTATACATATATATGCACTAGTTAGCTAGCTACCTAATCTTCCCTTTGATCTATTTTTGCGTTTCGAATTTGTTTTTTGTCGTACGTGTTTGTATGAGTAGTGTTAATTAATATATTTGTTGCAGCTATGGCTGAACAAAACAAGAGATCAGAGTTCATCAACACACCGCAAGTGGTGGTGAGCTCAAGATGGAACCCAACTCCGGAGCAGTTGAGGGCTCTGGAAGAATTGTACAGACGAGGGACTCGAACCCCGTCGGCTGAGCAAATTCAGCACATCACAGCGCAGCTTCGAAAATATGGAAAGATAGAGGGGAAGAATGTGTTCTATTGGTTCCAAAATCATAAGGCCAGAGAAAGACAGAAACGTCGCCGTCAGATGGAATCATCCGTGCCCTCTGTCCAACCAGATCATGAAATATCATTGTCATCCACAGATCATCAAAAGAAAGAATCATTAGGTACTGATCATGAAACCCAACGTTCCCACATTATACAATGATATTACTAATTCACTAGCTAGAATGTTTTTGTTTTATTTATGTATGTATGTTTTAGAAGGAAAGTAGTTAGTTAGAGATGTTTGTCTGTTTGCTTCAACTTTGAGTGTGTGGCCATTTCCATTAATCCATTTTTTTTCTGTGTTGCTTAATAATTTGCAAGCTAGGATATGTTTTTATTGATATACACATGTACACACACACACACACACATATATATATACATACATTTTATGTATTGGTACGTACGTAGCTTTGAATAATATAAAATCCAGTATATAATATTCGAATTGTTTGTTGTTTGGGAATTGAGTTGAGAGATATGGATCGATGCATGTTGTAAAGTCG